AAAAAAAAAAAAAAAAAAAGAACTGATAGAAAAAGAGATCAGATTTGTGGTTATTGAGGGTAGGGGAGGGATTGGATGAAAGTGGTTAAAAAAAAAAAGTACAAACTTCCAGTTCTAAGGTAAATAAATCCTAGGAATGTAATGTCCTCATGATTACTATAATTACTACTGCTGATGTTATCTGAAAGTATTAAAAGAACAAATCCTGAGTTCTCATCACAAGGGAAAAATATTTTTTTCTCCTTATTTTATATCTGTATGAGGTAATGGATGTTCACTAAACTTTTTGTGTTAATCATTTCATGATGTATTACGCGACTCTTTGCGACCCCATGGACTATACAGTCCATGGAATTCTCCAGGCCAGAATCCTGGTGTGGGTAGCCATTCCTTTGTTCAGGGTATTGTCCCAACGCAGGGATCCAACCCAGGTCTCCCACATTGCAGGAAGATTCTTTACCAGCTGAACACCAGGGAAGTCCATGTATTATGCTATACACCTTAAGTTTATACAGGGCTGTGTGCCAATTATATCTCAATATGAAAAACACCCACTTAGAATAGTGATTAGTGCACTATAAGCATATGGTGTGTTGTGTAAGCAATATGCAAAATTAGGTAGTAGAAAGATGGTCCATGGAGCTTTGTTTGTAAATGGGAAAGAATCAGAAGGGCCATCAATAGTGGAATGATAACCTTTATTACATGCTCCTAGCCACACTGTGTAATACTATGAAGAGTTTAAAAAAAGTTAGTTAGGTCTGTTTGTGCTAATAAGGAATAATCTCTCTGAGTGAAAACTGCATGTAACAGGCCAATAATATTGTGCGTGGTATGATTAAAACAGTGTAAGGACAAAAATCATAAAATATTCATCTAAAATATCCTAACATATCTTATTTTGGATAGTATGTACATGGAGATAGAACAATGATTACCTTTGGGAAAGAAAATAGTGTGGGAAGGGAGGAGATATGCTAAAAGCCTGATTTATTTTCTATAATGTATTTTCTGTTTAAACTATGAAACTAACCAAGAAAACTCTAAGGAAATCTTAGTAATGTTTTCAGAAATGTTTATTTTCAAATATACTGTAATGTACATTTTTAGCATGTTGGTTTTAGAACTATTGATTTTTCTATTTGTGTTTTTTTTTTTTTTGTTCTTGTCCTTAACTAAACAATAAACTTTATACTAAGCCTCTAAATATGACAGAAGTACACATTTTTGGATGTTTCCATAAATGGAAGATGGCAGCATCTTGTGACATTTTCTCACATTTTTGGAAACATCCATAAAGCTTTACATGTACCTCTTATATAACATTTACAAACTACCTCTATATGTTAAAATTATATATACATGTATATGTGTGTGTATATATATATATATGTATGTATTATCTCGGGTTGTTCTAATAACAATAAGCAACTAGAGGACAAAATTTATGTTGACTTCATTTTATTCCTCAAAGTACAACAGTTTGCATATAATCAGTGCTCAATAAATAGTTCTTAAATATGTTAAATTATTGTATTATTATGTATAGAAAGAATGAGGTTAAAAATATGCATTTTCTGAATAGATTGCAGGTAAGAATATTACAATCATTTGCATCATCTAACAATCTGACTTTCTAATTACAAAATATGCATAGGCCTTCATCTCAGGAAATAGTTGTTTCATTTATAATTATCTCAAAACACTTTTCCTCCTTAATATGCTCCACAAATCAGACTTATAGGCACAAAATAAGAATTGTTTTCCTTAAATCTAACTATGAGAATTCAAGGAGAATGATTTAGAGCACTGAAAAAGCCTTCATTATTATTATTTTGTTTTCTTTGCCTTTTGCATTTTTTTTCAGACTTGGGATGTAGCTTTGTCACGGACTGCTAGAGCTTGGGGGAAAAAATGTGTGTTTGAGCGTAATACTCATTTAGAAGAACTATACATGGCCCATCCTAAATTTAATGGTATTGGTGAAAATATATGGGTCGGCCCTGAAAATGAATTTACTGCAAGTATTGCTATCAGAAGTTGGTTTGAGCAGAGGAAAAAGTACAATTTTGAAAGGAACAGTTGCTCTGATAACTGTTCTAACTATCTACAGGTATCTAATTTTATATTATTAATTCAATAGACTCCTTAATTGCTTTACTACTAAGTTCTTATTGATTGTTTTGATTTTATAAATAAATTCAAATGGTAAAATTACTACCTCTAATAGAATAAAAATTCTGATTAGTTCTAGATCTTCTGAATGTTCATAATTTCTTCTATTTGCTTGAACCATACAATTAAAACATTCCTTTAAATATAGTAAATCTAATCTCCATACCCAAAGATGAAAGGTAACTTTCTAAAATAACACATGCTGAAAAAGGAAGTTAACAGTAAATAAAAATTAGTTCTAGTTTATTGACTATTTAAACATAAATAAGAGACTTGATTTTTTTTTTTTGCATGAATCAGTACACATACTATGGTATATGTATGTATGAAAACATTTTAATTGCAAATACATAGTATTATTTTCCTGCCTCATATCTAACAATTCACCCTAATACTTTGTACTCCAAGAATGCTGAACCACTTTTTATTTCCTGTGCATACATTTATCATTTTATGTATTACATTTTTCATAATCATTAATGTATGAATCTAATACTATGCAAAGGGCAGGGACCTTGTCTTCTCATCCATGTATTCTCAACACATCAACATGACATTATTTAGGCCTTCATTAAATATTTGTATCAGGAATCAAGAAACTATTGAATTAACTTCCAAGCTCATTTAAAAGATGATTATTTTTCAGTTAGTCAATTCTGATGTAGAACTTAAAATTTTGGAATTTTTTCATGTTGAACTCGTGTCTTTCTGTTCCATCAAATGAATCATGTTTCAGAAAATTTTTTGATCAATTCTTTCTTCTATAAAATGAGAGGCTCTCTATTATCTTACTCATGTCAAAGCTAAACTCCTTTATATGACTTCAGTACTTCGAGTAAACCAAGCAAGTCTCCTCCCTGACCTACTCCTCTGTGTTTTTTCCTGCTTGCATCTAGTTTCCTAGACACTTTCATCTCCTGCATTTGACTTCAACTGCTGCAGACATTCTATTCTCTAGTCTTTTAATGCATTGCTGTATTTCTTTTGGAGTCACACCCTTTTAAAATTGCCAAGAGTAATAGAGAAAAGGAAAACAAATGGTTTCTTCCTATTCCACAGAGGTTAACAAAACAATGTTTGTCTTTCTTCACTTAAAAGTATCAGGACAATTAAAGACACTCAGGAATTATTTTCTGGCTCTGGAATATCTTTAATTGTTTTCCTATTTTCATTCCAAGACCTGTCTTGCAAGAAATTACATTATAGGAACCAGCTCTTCTACTCATTTTTTTTAATGAAAAGCCCAGACTTTATTTTACTTTATAGTAGAATTTCCTCAATAAAAGAAAAGAAAAATTCTGCAACCTTCAATTACTTTCTACCCTTGTATTTCTTTTCCTTCTCTTCTACAATCTTACTGTCCCCTCGTCTTCGTCTTTCTGTTCATGACTTCCATCTTCCAAGGCTTTTTCTCTTCTCATTTCCCTCTTCCTCTCTGCCAATAACCTGGAACTCTCAGATTTAACAAAATGTTGAAAATTGATCCTTCCTTCCTTATTCTGGATCAGTTTTTTCTCAGACTTTTTTATCCGAAGAATACAGTATTGGTAGAACCTATTGAAATGTTTCTCCAATTACAGTTTTATAAATGCTTAACTAAATTCATGATAATTTTTTGCCTGCATCCAAATGAAGAATAGTTCATATACCTTGAATTGGTTTGGTTAAAGTTCTATGTGTACTGAATATACTATTGATTATACTATGGCAGAGTAAATGTTTGGAATTAAATTTTATGTTTTCTTTGAAAATTTTATTTTAGCTTGTTTGGGACAGGTCTTACAAAGTTGGTTGTGCTGTTACTCTATGTTCAAGTATTGGACGCATTAAACAGGCAGCACTCTTCATATGCAACTATGCACCGGGGTAAGTTCCTTTACATTTTTTAAAGAATATTAAAATAAATTGGGGGTTTTTAAAGGATTCCAGCCTCCCTAGAAGTTTGGTTGCACCATATGACTGAGCTTTCAACATATTCTTCTGAATGTCTTTGTGAACCATAAAAGAATTATAAGATAGCAGTTAAAGAGTTTATATTGAAATATTTGTAATTCTATACTAAAATGAGTCATAATTTAGGCATACTCATTTTACCTGTAGATAGCCAAATATTAATTCCAAAGGGAGTTTTAAGTTTGATATTATTTCATAGTACCTAGGCTAATTAGGATTTAAATAATTTTCTAAAATTGTCTATTTCCATATTTTTATAAAAAGAAAATAAGATATGTTGAAATGTATGTTGTAAGAATTACATCCAGAGCACCTAAGTTTTATAACATGAAGGACTCTTTTAATTGACTACCCTCTGGAGGTTGCATTATTAATTGGTGCTAGTCTCATAAATACAAGGAATCATAATAACTCAGAGGTGGAAAAGTACTTCAGAAGTCTTCTAGTCAAGCTATCCATATGAAACTTGAATTGTTAACACTTGCCATGTAATTATTTACCTATACCCAAAAACTTTCCAATAATGGGAAATAACTACCTTCCAAAATAGCTTCTATTTCTGGAGAACTTTATTGGAAAGCCTCACATTTCCCTACAGGTCAATAGGATACTATAAATAATGTTGTTAAAATGAATAATTGAAGTGAAAAAAAAATCCTAGTCAACATTCCAAGAAAAGTTAACTACATACTAGGATTAAGAAGGAACTTCTTAATACATAAATAAAATGCTTCTGGGACTGAGTCAAAAAAAGAAAGGAAAATAGAATAATGATTGCTAATTGATGATTGTATTCCCTTAGAAAGGGGAAACAGTGGAAACAGTGTCAGACTTTATTTTTGGGGGCTCCAAAATCACTGCAGATGGTAATTGCAGCCATGAAATTAAAAAACGATTACTCCTTGGAAAGGAAAGTTATGACCAACCTATGTAGCATATTAAAAAACAGAGACATTACTTAGCCAACAAGGCTATGGTTTTTCCAGTGGTCATGTATGGATGTGAGAGTTGGACTGTGAAGAAAGCTGAGCACCGAAAAATTGATGCTTTTGAACTATGGTGTTGCAGAAGACTCTTGAGAGTCCCTTGGACTGCAACCAGTCCATCCTAAAGGAGATCAGTCCTGGGTGTTCATTAGGACTGATGCTGAAGCTGAAACTCCAATACTTTGGCCACCTGATGAGAAGAGTTGACTCATTGGGAAAGACCCTGATGCTGGGAGGAATTGGGGGCAGGAGGAGAAGGGGACGACAGAGGATGAGATGGCTGGATGGCATCACCAACTCGATGGACATGAGTTTGAGTAAACTCCGGGAGTTGGTGATGGACAGGGAGGCCTGGAGTGCTGCGATTCATGGGGTCGCAAAGAGTTGGACACAACTGAGTGACTGAACTGAACTGAACTGAGAAAGGAAAAACATGAGTGTAGGTCGAATTAGATTCAGAAAGCCACTTCCTAAATGGAAGCTTTGCTGACTTTGAATATAGGCATGAAAAACAAATTTGGAATGTAGGGTAATGGCAAAAGTTTTTAGGCTTCTTTCAGTCCTACAAAGTGGAAGCATTGGGATGATATCAACTACATGGAATAGCTTTTAAAAGTTGATCTGTCCACTAACAAGAACAATAAAGACTGACCATGCTTAGTTTGTAGTCTTGGAAGAGACTTACAAGTGAACATGTACACAGGTGATATTTAATTAAATAATGAAATATGCCATAGAATAAATAGGGAATAACTACTATAGAATATAGACAGTATTGTTAGTCACTCAGTCGTGTCTGACTCTTCGCAACCCTTCAGACTGTAGCCCACCAGGCTCCTCTGTGCATGGAATTCTCCAGGCAAGAATACTGGAGTGGTTTGCCATTTCCTTCTCCAGAATATAGATAGGATATCTGTATCTGTGAAAGGAGGTGGCTTTTGAGCTGAAAGCCAAAAGATGAAGAGATGGCTAAAAAATATTTCAGGTAGAAGAGAGAGCACATATTATCAAATCTCTGAGCTTGAAATGAATTTAGCATGTTTGATAAATGAATGATTGTGGTTAGAGTTAGAAAGTTAGGTGACAACAAAACCAAATAGGATATCATTGGCCCAGTTAGGATTTGGGGGTTTATTCTACACAATTGACAAAACCATGGGAAAATTTTAAGCAAATAAGTGGCATGATCTCAAACTATGATTTGAAAAGAAAAGTAAAAGTGAAAGTTGTTCAGTCATGTCCAACTCTTTGTGACCTCATGGACTATGGAGTCCATCGAGTTCTCCAGGCCAGAATACTGGAGTGGGTAGCCTTTCCCTTCTCCAGGGGGTCTTCCCAACCCAGAGATCCAATGCAGGTCTCCCACATTGCAGGCGGATTCTTTACCAGCTAAGCCACAAGGGAAGTCCTTTGAAAAGAAAACAGTAGAAGATTGCTCTTGCTATTATGGTGAAAATGCAGTATAGGAAAGCAACGGTACAAAGAGAAACAAGCACAATTGGAGACTGTTTCTGTAGTACAGGCTATAGACGTGTATCTTGGGTTAGACTTTCAGTATGTGGATTGGTTTTTATTCAGTTCAGTTCAGCTGCTCAGTCATGCCTGACTCTTTGCGACCTCATGGACTGCCGCATGCCAGACTTCCCTGTCCTTCACCAACTCCTGGAGTTTGCTCAAACTCATATCCATTGAGTCGATGATGCCATCCAACCATCTCATCCTCTGTTGTCCCCTTCTCCTCCTGCCTTCAATCTTTCCCAGCATCAAGGTCTTTTCCAATGAGTCAGTTCTTCACATCAGGTGGCCATAGTGTTGGAGCTTCAGCTTCAGCATCTGTCTTTCCAGTGAATATTCAGGACTGATCTCCTTTAGGATTGACTGGTTGGATCTCCTTGCAATCCAAGGGACTCTCAAGAGTCTTCTGCAACACCACAGTTCAAAAGCATCAGTTCTTTGGCACTCAGCTTTCTTTATGGTCCAACTCTGACATCCATACATGACTACTAGAAAAACCATAGTTTTGATGATACAGACCTTTGTTGGCAAAGTAGTGTCTCTGCTTTTTAATGTGCTGTCTAGGTTGGTCATAACTTTTCTTCCAAGGAGTAAGCATCTTTTAATTTCATGGCTGCAGTCACACCATCTGCAGTGATTTTGGAGCCCAAAAAAATAAAGTCTGTCACTGTTTCCACTGTTTCCCCATCTATTTGTCATGAGATGATGGGTCTAGATGCCATAATCCTAGTTTTTTGAATGTTGAGTTTTAAGCCAACTTTTTCACTCTCCTATTTTACTTTCATCAATAGGCTCTTTAGTTCCTCTTTACTTTGTGCCATAAGGGTGGTGTCATCTGCATATCTAAGGTTATTGATATTTCTCCCAGCAATCTTTATTCTAGCTGGTGCTTTGTCCAGCCTGACATTTCATGTGATGTACTCTGCATATAAGTTAAATAAGCCAGGTGGCAATATACAGCCTTGACAGACTCCTTTCCCAATTTGGAACCAGTCTGTTGTTCCATGGCCGGTTATAACTGTTGCTTCTTGACCTACATACAGGTTTCTCAGGAGGCAGGTCAGGTCTGATATTCCCAACTCTTGAACAATTTTCCACAGTTTGTTGTGATGCACACAGTCAAAGGTTTTGGTGTAGTCAATAAAGCAGAAGTAGATGTTTTTCTGGAACTCTCCTGCTTTTCCTGTGATCCAACAGCTGTTGGCAATTCGATCTCTGCTTCCTCTGCCTTTTCTAAATCCAGCTTAAACATCTAGAAGTTCTCAGTTCACATGCTGTTGAAGCCTAGCTTGGAGAATTTTGAGGATTACTTTGCTGGCATGTGAGATGAGTGCAATTTGCTCTGGGAATGGTTTGAAGTAAACTGCTGCTATAAAGGCCCTGACATAGAAACGAATTGCAGTCCTGAATGAGAGCACCTCACAGAAGAGGAAGTTCCGTGAGTTAATTTAAGTACTAAGCTCTAGAGTAATACAGTGTTTCAACTTAAGGAAGAGAGCTGACAGAGGAGGGTGAAGAGGCCAGTGAAATACGAGGGAACCAAGCATCCTACTGGTGAGGGTGCTTGGAGTCCACATGAAGAACACGAGTCATGATGTCCAAAGTGCTTAGCTGTATGCGATACTCCTCAAGGAATTACACAGAAAAATGAGGAAGGAAAGATGACATTTCCATCTGATAAGATGATGGTGTTTGTTAACCTTAATAACAGGAGTGACCTGTAGACAGAGCAGGAGAAGAATAGTGGGCTGAACTGAGAGAAGCATTGACACATATATATATATATATTTATATATGACTGTGTGTAAAATAGGTAGCTAGTGCCATGACTATAGTGATAAGATGAACCTACTAGATGTTAGGATTACTCGTCTTTCCACCCATTTGTCCCATAGGCTTCTTTGTCTTGAAATTTTTACAACTATTTTTTCTTTGATACAGACATTGGAAAGTCTACTTATGAAGGATCTAGGTTGGCTCGTACACTAGGCACCTCACCCCAAGGTTTATTTGATATGCACTCAAAGTAGGCAGTCATAGCTATCTTTCTTAAGAATAGTTGGTAGAAAAATCAGTTCATCACAATCTTATAAAATACTTAGTAGGAGTGAAAATAAGAAAGCCAAATTGAATGTGTAGTGGACTGAATGGTGACCCCCTACTAAAGGATGTATCCAGGTCCTAGTTCACAGAACTTGTGAATATTAACTTATTAATACATGGCAAGAGTGAATACTGCCTTATATGGCAAAAGATGTGTTTAAGATAAGGATCTTGAGAGGAGGCACTTATCTTATTCAGGTAGGACCTAAATGCAATTACTCATATCTTCATAAGAGAGAAGGAGAAGGAGATTCAGCCCTAGACACACAAAAGAGAAAAAGGCAATGTACTGTGGAGGGAGAGGTTGGA